CTGCATCTGGGCCTCGGTAGGACCGTATACAGCCCATAGGCTACACTTTGTTAACATGCATGGATAGGGCACACCAGCCACGCTAACATCAACCAAATTTACAGCATAATCCATGGTCACAGAGAAGTCAATCCTATGGACTTCAGTTGGACTTCCTCCTTTGTCTTTAAAATTGTGGTAAGTAAGTTACCAGTGACATCTTTCCCCAAAATGTTGGCTACAATGGACAGCATTGACTCTGCTTTATATTTGAATGGTTGCTCTAGTGTAGCTGCAGGATTATACCAGCTTGGTAGCATTCACTAACTTTAGTCCTCAGTGAAACTGAACGTCTCTGCTTTCAGGGATCCTCTGCCATTCCGACGAGAGTGAGGAAGCGCTGTCCATTTTGTAGGTATCTGGGTCATGTTCCTGGGTTGCACAGTGCAGGCAGGTGCATCAGCCAGCTGTACTACCCATCTTGATTATGCTGTGAGCATTGAATAGGGGGAGCTTCTATTCACCCAATACTATTTTCAGGTAGGCATTGCATGGGAAGATAACAGCTTGCTCAAGTAAATTTATTTATTTATTTATTACAACCCAGAATCCCCTGGTGAACATGGCCATTTCACCATCTTGGCTACGGCTAACATTTTCAAACTCTGAAGAAGATCAGAAAAGGCAGCCAAGATGGCTTCTAGGGAACATCATCTTCCAACACTCCTTCTGACCTTTTTCATGGTGAAAAGCTCCAGACTCCTAAACTTTTAGGTAACCTCAGAATGCAACTTAAAAAGACCTGTTTGGTTGCAAGAGGAACATCCCGATGTGACTTTGTGCATACAGGCACTATGATTCATGAAAACCATATTTTAAAAAATGGCCAACTCAGATGTTTATTAAATATAAGTAAGTTTATTGCACTCAAATTGCATTCATACACATAGAGTTGGAGATAGCATCTTGTTGCAGAATTATTGCCTGGTCACTCACAAGCCACAATAAGGGTTGCTGTTACCCTTATGACCCAGAAGGTTGATAACATTTTTAACAAGCTGACATTAAATTCTTGTTACTTCTCACTTCGGTTGGTGGGGAATCAGAGCCTGCAAACATTACTGGCTGGGGTATTCTGAAGGATCTGAAGGAGGGAGTACTTCTAAGTACTCATTACCTTGGAAACCATAGGTCAGAATTGACCTAATGGCACAGGATTACTATTTCAAACAATGTTTCCAAGGTTTGGTGAGGACACAGAAGTTCTGTGCAGGAATGGTGGAAAATGTGATAGGTGCCACTCAGCACTAGCAGTAAAGAAATCACAGCTAATGGTCTGTGTTGCAGAGCTGTGAAATCTGATCACCCTATCAGTGAGTGACAGTCAGGAGCGCTGCCACTCAGCACTAGCAGTAAAGAAATCATAGCTGATGCTCTCTGTTGCAGAGCTATGAAATCTGATCACCCTATCGCTCCCACATGCCATGGGCCCTACCTTCCAGTCAAAACAGACTCAAATCTCATAGCCTTCACTCTCATTGGCTCTCAGTGCTCTCTTGCTGGCACATGCTTATTGGATCTTTAAGGAGCAGCTCTACTGCTCTGCTTTTTCCTCAGATTTGTGCCTTTTAAACTTGAGATTCCTAAAACCTGCAGGGAGTCAGCCGCCTTTCCCAACCTGGTGTTTCACTTATGTGGTTGGACCTAACTAGGTCTGAAGTTCCCAACAGAGCTTGGAAACATTATTTTTTTGGATTAAAACTCCTTGAATTCATACGGCATGCAGGCTGGGGAGTTCTAGGAGAGGTCGTGCAGAAAAGTAACTTTCCCAAGATCTAAACCTGACTACAAAGGCAGTACTTAGCTTTTCCAAAGATAAAGCTATCATCACTGTCTAGATATTGGGGTTTGGCCTACAAAATCACCACCTCTCGGTTACCAATTCTAAAAGCTAGCATCCTGTTGATGGAGTTTGTGGTTGTAATATGGTGAATTGAGAGGAGCCATATAAGCCTGGATCCAGGACAGGTTGGATGTGTGGCCGTATGCAACGGATGCTATCGGCAGCTCATTTAGTTTGCACCATATGCAGTGTATGGTTACACTGGGTGACTGCAAACAGGATACTAGCCAAAGAATCCTGGATTCCCCCCCCCCCCGCAAACAATTATTTTACAGTCACAGAAAGTGCCAGAAATGGCATCTTCTTTCCATTGTTTCTCAAACTGAACTCTTTGGATGCACTGGACTACATGTCCCACCATCCCCAATAATCACAATGTATGGGAATGATGATTACTTTAGACTGACCCATCTGGAGGGTTGTACCATTACTGGAAGGTTATGCAGTCATCAAGGCTGGTTGGAAGCAACTTGCCAAAACGTGACATACATAAAATGTTTCATCTCTCAGTCATCAATTTGTCCGATTATACTGTTACTAAGCTCAGCTTATAAAAGTGATGTAAGAATATTTGCACATTATCTGAGTAAGTATATATAATATGGCAGCCTATATACAAATCCCAACAGAAATTATACACATTGACAGAAATAACTCAAGTTATTATAAGAGTACAGCAATATTAACACCCACATGATTTAATTCCATTAATGCTATAGCCTGCATAGCGTTCTTTGAGTTCAGGCAGAGAAAAGTAAATCAAAATAAAAACACAATTTGACATATCCAGAAATTTATCACTAAAAAAAGATGTAATGGAAGGCTGTAGCATGAATTAAATAACTGGGCAGCAGCTGTTCTTGAAAAGATATGCTAAATTGAGGATAGGGACATTGAACTGGAGGAAAACCACCAAGTAACTCATGGACTACTTGAAGTCAGGGCACCACCACGAGAAAGACCTTGACCAAGTGTACCTGCAAAAAAGACTGAGTGGACAAACATGAGAACCAGCAATTTGGATGCTGTTCTGTGCTGTCAAGTTGGAATCCCAAGTAGGAAGTGATCCTAAGAAGGCTTACAAGGTAAGCGGGATATTTAAGGAATGATTTTTACCAGTTCTACACAGTGAATTTCCGTGCCTGAATGGGGATTTGAACCTTATTTAAGGAATGGTTTTTATCAGTTCTACGCAGTGAATTTCCGTGGCTGAATGGGGATTTGAACCCAGGCTTCCTGGATACTTGGTATCAGTTAAGACGTTGATATAGAAATTGGGAAACCGTGAAATTTATTACATGCTCTTTGACCATCTCTAACAGCTTCAGAGACCACCTTGCAGGATTTTTCCGAGGACAAAGAGTGGGAAAACCCCACTGTAAGTTTACGATGGGGTAATACATAAACTCTTTATTCTTCTTTCAGTACTTCAACCTACCTTTAAGAATATAATCCTTCTTTGTGGAATAAATATGGGGCAGACATTCTGAAAATGCCTAATGGCTTTTAGTTAGCCTACGCTGAGGCATTTTGGCTGAAATCCTGTTGCTTAGTGTAGTAAGTAGTACTAAAATTGGTCTACTGAATCAGTGGGCATTTGGTGAGTCAACTCCTTTGGACTTCCATGGATTCAAATGGTTCTTCTCTAGTTGTAACTTACTATGCTGTGCTATGTTAGTTACGTGCCGTCAAGTCAGAAGCAACTTATAGCAACCCTAACAGGTAAAGATGATATTTTAGGAATGGTTTTACCAGTTCTACTTCCCCCATGAGTTTTCATGGCCAAGTGGGGATTTGAACTTTGTTCTCCAGAGTCCTAGCCTGTCACTCTATCTACTACCCCACACTAGGCACCTCTACTACGCTATAGTAAGCTGAAACCAGAATAGGCCCATTTGAATTAATGGAAGTAAAGGATGAGTTGACTTACCAACTCCCCATTGATTGAAAGGGTCAGCTCTAGGTAAAGGTAAAGGTTCCCCTTGACAATTTTTGTCCAGTTGTGTCCGACTCTAGGGGGCGGTGCTCATCCCCGTTTCCAAGCCAGAGAGCCAGCATTTTGTCCGAAGACAATCTTCCGTGGTCACATGGCTAGTGTGACTTAGACACGGAACGCTGTTACCTTCCCACCAAGGTGGTCCCTATTTATCTACTTGCATTTGCATGCTTTTGAACCGCTAGGTTGGTGGGAGCTGGGACAAGCGACGGGCGCTCACTCCGTCGCGTGGATTCGACCTTACGACTGCTTGGTCTTCTGACCCTGCAGCACAGGCTTTTGCGGTTTAGCCCGCAGCGCCACCACGTCCCTCTAGTGCTACTTAAAAAAAATTCAGCCACTGTTGAAATGCCTGCAGCACAGGGTTTTGCGGTTTAGCCCGCAGCGCCGCTACGTCCCTCTAGTGCTACGTAAAAAAAATTCAGCCACTGTTGAAATTATTCTAGGTACAACTTTTTGTCAGGAAACACCAGGGCTAGAACTGAGTCCCTGTGGAGCTACTCTCCATGACAAACAATGGGTGTATTTATCATCATACTGGTGATGAATTATTGTCAGTTTTGCGACTGGTCCCACTCACCCTGGTAGGGTTGAAATGCACTTCCTATATTTCTGACTTTTGCTAGTCTCTGGTTTCCTTCCTTGACTACCTATCCAGCACTGCTGGCTGCAGCTTATTTTCAAGCACCACACGGCATGACTAGATCTGGCAAATCCATTACATAACTCTGGTCCCTAGATGGCACTGAATTTAGCTATACTGTATCTACCATTTTCCCTAAAATAAAACCTAACCTAAAAATAACCCCTAGTATGATTTTTCAGGATGCTCGTAATATAAACCCTACTCCAAAAATAAGCCCCAGTTAAGTGAAGCCCTGCCCTCCACCCTTGTGCAGCAACCAGATGAAGATGACATGACTGTATTTGAATAAATGTAGACTGTTCTACATGAACAAAATAAAACATGCCCTGAAAATAAGCCTTAATGCGTTTTTGGAGCAAAAATTAATATAAGACCCTGTCTTATTTAGGGGGAAACATGATAGGTGAGGTGAGGAGGATTTCCTTTGTTATTATCACTAAAATGTTATGATTATGATCGGCAAAATGATCGGATTGCCAAAATATTTTATAATACCTTATTTGAAGACCAGTGGCATGGCAATCTTCTACCAAAAAGAATCCTCTGTTTTGAAAGAATGCACAGTTTTACCAGGTCTTGTTTCAAGACAAAGAACCGTAAAAAGGAGGGCGCTGGCCTTAAAGTTACTCGTCAATACTTAACACTTAAACAACAGACTAAGCAACTTAGGTCAGCTGGTCAGCCTTCCTTGGCCCCTTTATGGCCTTTTCCTTTCTATTTAAATTACAGTAATCATCTCTAAAATTGCAGGTATCCACATTAATTAGTATTTGCCATGGTTATGCAAAATGGTGTCCTCTTGTCTCTTTTTCTGTTGACAAATTGCATATTTTTGGGTATCTTTGCAAGAACAGTTATGCACTGATAATCCAGCTAAGCATCTGCATGTCTTATAGCACAGTCACATTATTAAAACAAGTTTCTGACTTGGTCCCACTCAGGTTTCAATGGTCAGTAGTTGTTAATGTACCCAGGAGAAGGAGAACCTCCAATCAGAAGTCACCACTGCCGCTTAACATTTTCCCCCAGCATGGAGTTCCAGAGGTACCAATGAAGCCATGCTTCCATCAGCTTTTGCAGAAGGTTGGTCCTTGATTACTTAAATGTTTCATCCAAAGCAAGATTGACCAAAGATTCACCTCTGTGGTTTTGAAACCAACAGGAGATTTGTATAGAATCGGAACGTTGCATAAGGCACATATCAAAAGTGCTTTGATGTCTGGACATCTTTTACAATTTGGGTGCTATCTAATAAATACTCAAAGCCACCCTGCTGACACACAAGGCAAGCTCCCCCACATTACCATGGCTATCTTCCGTAACAGATGCTGACCGTTGAAGTACATGCATCAGTTTGTTAATTTTTCTGTCTTGTTGCCCCACCTGCAGAAGAAAACAGAGAGCAAGTTCGCAAAAATCCCATTTTGAAGTCAACAGTTTGCTTAAGTTGTGCGCTACATGTGAACTCTGTTGAGGGCTTCTAACATTATGCTCTTGGGTCATTGTCTGGGGCCACAGCAGAGAAGTATAGAATTACATAAACCAACCAAAGTAAACGTGGCAAAGAAATGTAAGTAGATTTCATCTTGATGTCTGTTTACGACAGATAGGTGCTTTGTGTGCCTGAGAGCTTGGTAAGAAGCTGTTAGCGTGCACCCCAGGTGCTATGTGGACATTTTCACACACACACCCAGGGCTGGCTGGACCACTTACCTATTGTCCCATGTCACCAGGGTCCTTCTGCTCCAGCGGTGCACCAATTTGGGCAGAAGCCCAGCTGGCATATCCCTGCGTCCTCCAGCAGTTGACCACTCCACCGAGTAGCCAAGACAGGGATTCTCCCTGGGCAGCCGCCGAGTGGTTGGCTGCCTGAGGAGGCAGGGAAGGGTGCATCGCTGGAGCAGAAGGACCCCAGTGACCCATGATGAGAGGTAAGTGGCCTAGCCAGCCCGGGGTGTGGGTGCATGAAGTGCCCATCTGGGATAGGAATAGATAGTCTTAGGGCCTGCCTCTCAATAAACCAGGAGAACCTTTGAATGGTGTTTATACAACTACCTTGTGATTAAGATGGTCATTACGAAATTGCTTGGGGAAAAAAAGCTTTACTTGGTTTTTTTTAATTGTTCCTCTAAATCCCATGTGCTGGCCAGCCACTGGTGACACTGAATTCTAGTGAACCTCAGCTGCTGTGGCTACTGTACCCTCTAAGGTCAGTTGTCCAAGCCTGGCTGCCAAAGTCTCTGCCATGGGATGCCCAGATATCCAAACCTGGAGAGCTGACCACAGAAAGCACCATGGCTAGAGCAACTCACAAAGCCCCCCTCCCCGTGTCTCTTGTGTTCCCTGCTCTCGGCAGGTGGAAGGAGAGTGCTTCTAGGGGCTGTGGGATGGCTGAAACCTCCCTCTGGTGTTGACCACTAATCTATATAAGGGGTGGGTAGCCTCAGCAGGGCCAAGGACCACTTTTTTTTTCAGAACTGTGGAAAACTGAAGGGCTGGGGGAGGAGCAGGACCAGCTAGACAGATATGCATATTTATATTTGGTTTTTTAATGTTTTGCAAAAGTCACTACAGAGGGTTTTTTATTAACTGCAATAACAATTTGACTTTAAAAAACCTGGAAAAACCTCCCTTATGCCTTCTAGTCACGAGATTTATTAACATTTATTATTTGGGGGGGTGAGTGGGTGCCCCCCCCAGTCATGTTGAGAGATACTCAATACATGGCAAAATTTCCCCTAGATGGCACAATGGGACTTTCTGTGTAAAAAAAGATTTTTCTCCAGAATGTCTTAAAAAAATTGGGGGGATGGGGGCCCTTGGGGGACTGATGCCCCCCTAAGAATGCCCCTGGGGTCCCTATGTGGCCCACATGCTGTATTTTGTCCACCCCTTATGTAGACATTTTGTAGACAGATTTTCTGCAAGGGGTCAGCATTTGTGAAGAGGAAAATTACAATTGTAATCTAGCTTAACAAAGGCGAACCAGGGATCCTAATCTACAGTGACCTTTGGAGAGACGCTCTGTAGTGTTCTCACTATGGATAACACAGTGTAAGAAATGGAAGTGAGGAGAAAGTCTTGATAAAACAAACACACTGGTAATACAATAATTAGAGATAACATTGTCATTTGATTAGGTTATGGCTGCTTGCGAACAGAAGGCAAAAGTGAAAGAGTAGCTACGCAACCACAGAGATGGCCATCTTCTTGTCTCAACATGAAAACCTCAAAGGAAGTCGTATAGGTCAGTTGAAGAGCTGAGGACTTCCTGGGACAGGTGCATTGGACCACAACCAGATAATAGGAAATAAAGGCTGGAATCCTGTTGCCTCCTACAATCACAGAAGGGCAACTGCCCAAGTGGCAGTAGTGGTTGCCTGGGGTGTCTGTCATGCATTTACATTTATCCCCTGGTTGCACCACTGGATGTGCATCCAGTTGTGCAACAGGTAGTCTGGGGAAAGGAAGAAATGCTTGCTTGATCGCCCTTATGCACACAGTAAACCCCAACAGGATTCTGGCCAAAGTTATTCATTAGGTGATGGCTCCAGCTAAGCAAAGAAGGGTTTGATGATCTGGCCCATCAGAGAGATCCCTGCCTATTCACTGAAGTTACTTGACGATGCTTTCTATCAGGTGCTCTCATTTTCAGTGAGGCAGATGGCAACTCGGAAGGGTGCATTTTCAGGTGCACTAGAACTGCACCTATTCTGGAATGGGAGAAGGCACAAGGGGCAATGTCATACAGCAGAATCCTACAGGGGTTGGGAAAGGAGAAGTCATCGTGGTGGGTAGGGAAAAAGTGTTTGCATGCTAGGGCATTCCTGGGGAAGTACTTTCTCAGCTGTTTTCTTTTCTTTTGTAACCTCTTACTTCCATGGTTCTTGATGGGAGGGAAATAAACCAAGCCAGCTCTAAGACTTGCACTGTTTTCCCTTGGGGAAATTGTGTTGGGACCAGTCCTGTAAACTCATAGTCTCTCCTGATCTGTTCTGGGTACCCAGCTCTCCCCCACCACCACTTTGTACTATCAGGTTCAGTGATCTAAGAGTCAATACGCTAAGAGTAAATATCTTTCCATCCTTAAGGAGATTGGCAGGTTCTTGGACGCCATCTCAGGGATTATAGGACTATGACCATAATATGCTACAAGGATATATAAACACTATAGATTGGACCCTGGAAGCTGGAGCAATCACTTGGTTGCGTTCAGCCATGAAGCACCATGGAGAACTTTGGGCAGTCTAATCCCATTAACTCCAAGAAGATGAGCATCACTGAAATTGCATTTTTACAAGATTCTAAAGAACAGAGCACAGGAAGATGATTGCTGTTATTTCAACAGATTTGACAACATTAAACAAATTTAACAAAAGACAAGCGTTTTCCTGCAAGGAAATGATGATTGGCTGACACAGAAGACTTAAATCTTGGACCCAATTGTGAGTAACAAAGAGTCTTGCTTATGACTCTGGTAGCTGTAGAAATTGAACCCAGCCAGCAAAATCTCTCCCCCCCGCAAAAGAATCATAAAATAGCACATATAATTAGCTACAAGAGGCAGAAGCACAGCTTCATATGGTGATGATCAACAGCATCTTTAGGTGTAGGTAAGTCCCAACATGATGGTTAGTTGACACAGAGAAGCACCCTTGATGATTTACATACCTCACTGTATCTCACAACCTCTTTTTGTTTTATTATCTCCAGTATCAACCATCGCTTTTAAATCAGTGTCAACCACTGCTTTCAAATAAAAGAGAAGACACTGAATGTAGGCAGACAATATTAACAAAATCAACTGTAAGAACATGGTTGAATGGGGAATGTTTCTTAATCAAGTAATGAGTCATCTTAGTTGATTAATCACAAAGGTTCCAGTTGATTAATCAATTAACTGATTATATTTGCATAGGAATAAAAAAGTTATGAGACAAAAGTTAAACTTTCTCTTTCTAGTAAGGATGGTGTCATTGTCATAGATGTTGAACAGACCCTAAGAGGTTATTCTACTGATACATCTTTCATCAGTGGGATCAGGAGGACTTGATTTCAATGCAGGCCTCTCTACACCCCCAACAGACTGTGTTATATCTCTTTTGGCACCAGCCCCATAGCTATTTTTGGAACAATAAAAGCTCCTACACCACTGCAATTTATGCAACCAATTCAAGGTATACTTTGGCTTTACAGATTAGTAAGAGGGGAAAAAAGCCAGGTTTATGGATGCAGTTGCTGTGGGAGGATAATGAAGTCAACCGCATATGAATGTGATGACTCTGTTATTTTGTACTCAAGATTATATTTACAGGGCAAATGGGTATTTTATTTTTCATATTGCACTTTCCAAGGACGTAGAAATTAAATTCAGGTGTTTGAGGTTTTTTTTTTAAACCATGTTTAGATTCACACTGAAAGCCTGTCCTTTATCTCAAAATGTAGATCGGTCGTGGACAAGAATATTTAATTTTAACAGAGCACTTTAGCAAAATATAGTAAAGTATGTTACAAGTTCTGCATACTGATCAGCGATGCGAAAAAGCTTTGTGGCTGATCTTTGCGTGGGATAACCATACTCAGTGCAGCAAGTGTTATAAAAAAAGGTTCTGTGATTTTTTTGGTTTGTTTCAGATGCACAATACTTCTATAAATAATTTAAAGCACTAAATAAATGTTTAAAGGAATGTTGGGGAGCTCAACATGATTTGCATATCATGTTTAATGTGCATGTTAACGACTTCCTTCTTCACCGCTGACAGTGACACATGCTAACCCAGAGCGCAGTCCAGGAAAAATTAAGTGTTTGCAAATGTCATGGTTTTCAGTGAATCTATCCTTAGCTTTCCTATTCAAATCAGTGATACGCATGCTTTGACAGTGCATTTAAACATCTTTACAAGTCCTAATTGTTAAGCTGTTTAGTCCATGAAAATACATTCCTGTTACAAATTGACGTCTAAAATTGCCCACCCCCCACTTTTGGTGACAGCATGTAAATTCAGAGAACAGTCTCCTATACTTTATGTCCCTTGGACTATCCTTTATCCATTTATTAACTATTTACAGTGGTACCACATTCAAGCATCAAGTGATGCTGCCTTGAAGAATTTCACAGAACGTAACGGGGCCTCTGCATGACCCAAGCCTTGCCCTGCAGAGATCCAGTCCAAGTCGCAGGCAAATTTACAATGGTGCCTCGTTTTACGCTTGCCCCGCATTACGACAAAACCATATTACGATGATCTTTTTGCGATTGCAATTGCGATTGCAAAACGATGGTCTGAATGGAGTTTTTTCGCTTTGCGATGATCGGTTCCATGCTTCGGGAATCGATTCTTCGCAAAACGACGATTTTCCTCCAGCTGATCGGCGGGTTCAAAATGGCCACCAGGTAAATAAAATGGCTCCCTGCTGTTTTCTGGGACGGATTCCTCGCTGCACAGGCACCGAAAATGGCCACCCTATGAAGGATCTTCGCTGGATAGTGAGGTTCCAGCCCATTGGAATGCATTAAACGGGTTTTAATGTGTTTCAATGGGCTTTTTATTTTCGTATTATGACGTTTTTGTTCTACAGTGAGTTCGCTGGAACGAATTAACGTCGTAATGCGAGGCACCACTGTATTCAGAAACAAAGCCTCACTAACTTCAGTGGGGCTTCATTGCAAGTCACCAGGCAGTATATTCAAATGCAAAGTTATGCTGGCTATATCATCATCATAATCATTTTTGGAACTGCAGAGCTGGAAGAGACCTTATGGGTGTCATCATGTCCAGCTCCTGTCAGGCAGGCACAGTGGGGAATCGAACTCCCAACCTCTGGCTCCACAGCTAGGTGCCTAAAACCACTTTGAAATGGGGAGAAGACTTTTGTGCCAGCACAATTTTTTTCTCCTGGCTGAACTCTCATCTGCTGGCACAGCTGGATCTGCTGTTACTGGCTGACTTCAGCCAGTGGAGCAGCAAAAAAGGAAAAAAAGGGGGGGGGCAGAGGAAGGACTGGATCTGACCTAACTCAGGGAGGAACTGAGTTAGGTCAGATCCAAACCCTGTCAGTCCGGACTCCTAGCTGCTATGCCAGCCTTAAGGCCAGGGTCAGAGTAGTCCCAAGAACCTTAAGGTTTGGGTTCAGCACAGCCTTAGCTGTCTTTGGGCCAGCTCATGTCTGTTCAAAGCCTGAGAACCAAGCCACACTGGGGGGAGTCCCTTTGGCCCAACTTTAATCTACAACAACGGCAATGAAAATAGCTTACCTGAATGGCTCTTGCTGTGCCTTTTTTTCTTCCGGCGCTTGGCTGAGCCTCTTTGGCTGTCCTTTTCGGCAAGGGCTTGTTCCGGAGGTACCGTCGCGGAAGACAACGAATCCGTCACTGGCTCTTCTGAGAAGGACTTCTCCTGAGAGACATCCAGCAAGGAGTCTACGGACGGTTGGTCTTGCTCTTTTGTCGCCTCCGTTTGCGCCACAACCTGAGGGACGGTCGCCTCAGGTGTCGGTAGCCCTTTGGTTTCTCCAGACATTTCCTCTATCCCACTGTCATTTCTGCTTACCTGGTTATCTGTATTTAGGCTGTTCTGGGAACAAACCCGCTCTGATCTGTTGACTGCGTCTCCTGATCCGACAACACCAGCATCAGTTTTCAAGCTGGCTGAGCTACCTCCATCACCACTACCAAACTTTACAGAAGAGGTTGAGAGGGACAACACTAAATCATTACAATTCACATCCTGGATGCTATGGGCGACAGTTTTCCCTTGCAGGTTTGGTCCACTTTGGGGTTCTTTGGTTTCCTCCAAAGCCAATGAAAGTAAGAAGTTCTGCTCCGTGTCCGGTGGGGCTGGAGAACACCTGCCCTTTTCAGTGCCACCACAGGAACTGTGAGAAGCTGGCGAGTCAACCACAGAGTTTCCCTTATTACTTGCCGTAGCAGCTTCTGAAACGTCTGTTTTCCCTACTTGCTCCTTCACACCATTTTGTATGATCACACCACTCTCCTCCTTGGACAAATCTTTCATAGCCTGAACGGTCTGGCCTGAAAAGTGACAAAATGCACAAAAGTTAGCCTCGGTTCTACTTTGGCCATTTGTTTGAATGACGAAGGAAAAGGTCTTGCTTGGCAAATCCTCACAAACGGATTGAGTTTCTGCTGCCTCGCCTCTAGCCTCTTCCTGTCCTCCACCCCAAGGCAGTATTTGGGGAGAAAAATGGAATTTGTCGTGTGGTATGCCACACACCTGTGTTTTTATCATCCAATAATGAAATAATAGGGACATGGCAGCCCTGTGGGTTAAACCACAGAAGCCTTGTGGTATGCCACACACCTGTGTTTTTATCACCCAGTAATGAAATAATAGGGACATGGTAGCGCTGTGGGTTAAACCGCAGAAGCCTTTGTGTGCTGCAAGATCGGAAGACCAACAGTCATAAGATCAAATCCATGTGACAGAGCGAGCTCCTGTTGCTTGTCTTAGCTCCTGCCAACCTAGCAGTTCGAAAGCATGCAATGCGAGGAGATAAATAGGTACCACCACGGTGGGAAGGTAACAGCATTCTGTGTCTAGTCGCGCTGGCCATATGACCACGGAAACTGTCTATGGACAAAACGCTGGCTCTATGACTTGGAAACGGGGATGAGCACCGCCTCCTAGAGTCAGACATGACTGGACTAAATGTCAAGGGGAACCTTTACCTTAATGAGATGTTACATACTGCACATGCAAAGAATAACCACACAGATGATGCATGTCTCACTGGCAAGCAAATAAAGGCTGTTTGTTATTTATTAGTAAGAATGTCAATGTAGGTCAGGGGCTACTGAGATAATGATGAGCATTTCCTCCCCTGCCACTTATTCTCCTCGAAAATTATTCCCCTCCACTTTAGTTACCATGATGCTACCATGAACATGTTCATCTCACTGGTTTCAGATGCTAAAAAGGGTTGGATCTGATTAATACACAGATGGGACACCACTAGATTCAGAGATGCTGCGTTGGGGATAGCTTATTTGTCAATTAATATGCCAGGATCAAGTCCTAGAATCTTAAGAAAGCATCTAGAAAAGAATATTTCCTGAAAACTTGAAGACGTGCTGCCAGGTGGCAATAATGGAAGCAACAGTGTGGATCAGAATAAGTCAGCTTCCTAATTCCTAATTAACAACAGGAAAAAAACTTCTTGGTAGCACCAAGGAGAGCTTTATTCCTTTTGTTAACCCTACCTGGGCAGGACCAAGGAAGTAATTTTCAGTAGAATGGTGACTTGGAAGAAAAGAATGAAGCCCTCTTGGTGCACTCTGTTCCTGGTGAAAATCCTCCTCCTGCACTTATTGCCAAATAAATTAAAAAATCTCTGCTGTGATTAGTAGCAATGCATTTAGCCTTAGAAGCAGTTAAGTCCAAAATCAGACAATGCCAGAAGATGGCGGTGGTGCTGAAGTTATAGGACTGTATTACTTCCAACCAGAGATGGGTACAAACTGTTTTTCCCCAGTTCATGTCTGTTCATAAATAGACAGCACAGGTGCTGCTGCTCCCCTTGTCTGCCTCCTCAGCCAATCCAGCCACTTACCGGCCCACCTTGCTTGCCTTTTCCCACCTCCTCAGCTGATCTCCCAATCACGGGCAAGAGCACAGACTTCTCTGCCCCGCTCCTTTGCCTGAGTGGGAGATCAGCCAAGAGGGAGGGGCAGAGAAGCCTGAGCTCTTGCCGGGACTGGGAGATCAGTCGAGGAGGTGCAGGAAGCTAGCACCCGAGTGGCTGATTGAACCAGAGAAGGTGGGGGAGGGAAACTAGGATGATCTGGGATGAATCGATTTGTGCCCATCTCTTCTTCAGACCATAAGTGGGGCTGAGATAATGGAATGTCCTTCCATACAAACAAAAGGAAACAAACAAATAAAATATCTGGACACACAGGAAACTAATATGTCAGGAAGGACAGTCCTAGCCTGTGGGCATCCAGGGAGACATCTCATGGTGCTGTCAATGAAAATGTACACACAGCTGCAGCCAAGTTAATTGCTGGATTAACTACTAGAATAGTTAACAATATCAGAATGTATTCTTGAAGGCTTTCATGGCTGGGATCCAATGGTTGTTGTAGGTTTTTCAGGCTGTTTGGCCATGTTCTGGAGGTTTTTCTTCCTAACAGTGTGGCCGGCATCTTCAGAGAACAGGAGTTAGAACTCTGTGTAGTGTGTGGGCTTCCCTGTGTAGTCTAACATAATGAGTACTGGTGCTGTCCAGTACTTCTGTATTTCAGGGCATGTTCAGTTTGTTTCAGGGCATGTTCAGCTAATACCGATTTTTCCAGTTGTTTTAATTTGCAGTGTCTTTCATGTTCTTTGATTCTAGTCCGGATGCTGCGTTTTGTGGTCCCAATATATACCTGGCCACAACTGCAAGGTATCTGGTATACTCCTGCAGTGGTGAGGGAATCCCTTTTGTCCTTTACTGACCGCAGCATTTGTTGTATTTTTTGTGGTGCATCTGAATAATATTTTAGGTTGTGTTTTTTCATCTTCTCTGAAGATGCCGGCCACAGAGACTGGCAAAACATTAGGAAGAAAAACCTCCAGAACACGGCCAAACAGCCCGAAAAACCTACAACCATCAATATTAGAATGGTTAATGGAGTACACTTCATTTATTGGAAAGAAATCTCATCAGGACTTCTTACTCAAGGAAATACTCATGTGTTTCTAGGCAAAACCAAGCACTCAAAACAGGAACTCTGTTCTCTGTGACACCTCCATTTTGTGGGTTTCCCAACATGGTTCCCAAACTTTTCAACACTCCTCGTCTTTCTGATTTCTGAGAAACTCTCATGCCTCCCCACTGTCATTCAACCTTCCCTTTACACACATACACAAAATCAATATGTAATTTAAAATTAAAACTGAAACTAAACACAAACCACCTAGCTCTTTTAAATAAATTTTGAGGTATAAAACTTGAAAAAAAAAGTTTCAGCAGAGAGAAAAATGTTTATTAAGAACATCTCACACTCCTGTTCAGTTTTTTTAAAATCCCCTGTAAGTTTAAAAATAAAAACCTTCCTCCAGTTTGGGAACCAGCTCACATCCAGGAAGCATGGGAAATGCAGAGTTACCATGTCACCCCTTGGGACAGAAGGGTGTTCTTTTCATGACGGCTGCAACTCATGACCTGCCAAGGCCAAACCTCACTACATGAGTGCTCATTGAAACCAAGCATTCTCTCAGCACAAAACTATGGTAAAAATAAAACCAGATTCCTTTGCTGGCAGTCTTACCAGTAAATATAAATGGGACAAAAGCATGCCAGGACTACATATTTATTCACTGGAAAACCAAAAATGGATAGTTTCTAAGAGGTAGCCATGTTAGTCTGCGCAAGCAGATCAGGTAAATTCCAAGGAAACAAAACAAAATAAAACAAAACGAAATGTGTGGCACCTTAAAGACTGACCATTATACAGTGGTGCCTTGCATAGCGAACGCTTCGCTATGCGATGAAACCGCACAACGAGGGGTCCCGGGCCATCGTTGGAGCGTTCGCTCAGCGATGGCCCCTATGGGCTTTTTTCGCTATGCGATGATCGCGCGGACACAATCTAAGCATAGCGAACAGCTGATCGGCGGTTCCAAAATGGCCGCCGCTAAAACAAAATGGCGACCGCTGTTTTGCCTCGCTAACGAGGCATCCAAAATGGCCACCGCAATGGAGGAAACTCACAGAACGGTGAGTTTTAAGTCCATAGGAACGTATTAAATCAGTTTTAATACGTTCCTATGGCCTTTTCTGTTTCACTTAACGATGGATTCGCTGAGCGAGGGTTAATCTGGAACGGATTAACCTCGCTAAGCGAGGCACCACTGCACTTTAATGTCCACGAAAGCTTACATTAAAATATAATGGTTAGTCTTTAAAGTGCCACATGTCTTGATCTTTCTGTTTTGTATTGTTTCTTTGAATTTTACAAAAATGGATAGTGTATCTAAACCCCCCTTCCCACTTTCATTCTTTATACTAGGATTTTTGGATTTTAGAGTAATTTTGGAACAGAGTTACTGTAATTACTGTGATTCCTACCCATATTTTAGCCATTCTCCAAGACCATAATTTCCCTAAGGCAACAGAAAACAATAGAAATAATAATAAAACCATACTACATATAAAATACTAGTTACAATGAAAATACAGGCCACAATCCTTTTGGGGTTAAAAAAACCCCACCATTCACACGAAACACACACACACACAAAACAAATAAATCAAAAACCCTAACCCTTCCCTCCACCAAACCAGGCACCAAACCAACACCCATAAAAGGGGAAAAGCATTTCGCCCTCTGGTTTTCTGTCCATCGTGTGGCCAGACACTCAACAGTTTATTTAACTAGTATGCTCATGGTGGAGCATGCCAGCCGGCCTATATGACACAGAGGTTTGATAAACTTTGCACAGTCATATATGCCAACAGGATTCTGGGGCCAGAGAAAAGCCACAACAGGATTCTTGTGGCACCTGAAATAATTGTTAAGTTTTGTTCGGCATAAGCTTTCCTGGGCGGCAGGCCACTTTATCGGATAAGACATAATACAACCGCCTCAAGAGATTTATTTCAATTTTGCACTGCAAATATTTTCATTTAAAAGCCAGGGTGATGAGGCAAGTTTTCAAAACTGACTTCGATCCAGCCACAAATAAGGGCAGGCATATCACGTGAGATAAGCTTGGAACAGTTGTTTTTTTTTTAAAAAAGAAAGAAGACATTATTGAAGAAGAAAGAAAAGGTGTGAGCCGTATACCTCTTGCTTGTTTTAACTCAGCAGCACACGAAGTGCTGTGGGTCCTGTGCACACACGCCGCCGTGCACCCAGTATGATCCTAACCTCCCTGATTTTGCCCCAAACCACAAAATGCTGGAGGCATCTTGGGGTGTGTGTGTGATTTGTCACACGGACAGGTTTTCCCACCCAGTCTGATTTAGGCCTTAAAATGCCATTTTTTAAAAAGAAAGAAGTGACAGGCCTGGTTTCTTTTTTAAAAGGGGGGCGCTTTATAGAGCTGAGACAAAAAAAGACCTTTTAAGGCCTAAAAGTAGACTGGTGGGGAAGCATTACATTTAATTAGCATTTTTTGGGGGGGGGAGGGCTATTTTGAAATCTATGAGCAAACTGGTTTTTGGAAGGTGTTAGTAAGTTTAACAATGGGCTCCAGATCCTTGCAAGTAGCCCAACTCATGCTTTAAATGGAAATTTCTGCCCCCCTGAGCCAGGAAAGATGGGGACGCTAGAATTCTCTCCTTACCAGCCTCCTTGTCTTTCTGAGGTTGACTGGGAGACATTTTGACAGGTGTGTCTGAATCAACCTTGTTATTCCTGGCAGTTTTCCGCAGCTGGAACCCTTTTCTTATGTCGGCCAGCAAGGCATCGATAATGCACACCTCTTCCTGCTTCACGGCTCCTTTCTTAACTGTAGTTGGACATGAAAGAGAGAGTTAGACGGTCAATCCATTTGAAACCCTGGGCTTTGTTGTATTTGACTTTGGGATGCTTCTGACTTGCATCTCAATTTATGCAGGCATGAATTCCACTCAACACCTGCTACCGTGTTTGAAGGTGGGCTAAGGAAACGGGAACGTTCTGCCAAAAGCTTGGGAAATGCCATATTGGTTGTGGGGATTCTGGGAAAGGTAGTCCAAAAAAAAAAAAGTTTCCAAGCTCTAGTTTTACCTTTGACAAACAATGACAGTACAGAAACAGTACAATCCTCTACTTGCTTCTTCAGAAATACATCCTTCAGTGAGACCTATCACCAGCCAGGTGGGTCTAGGATTGTAGACTAATTCAAGAAAATTCTTCAGTTACTCACTTATCTTTCCATTTTCTCCTTTCTGCCTCTTCGCCTCTTCCTCCTCTAGCTGTTTTTTCCTTTTCTCGGCTTTCACTGCTTGCTCCTTTCGGTCTTTGTTTTCCTGAAGGTGGGAAATATCAATATGTGAAAGACACACAGTGGTGCCTTGCAAGACGATTGCCTCACGGGACGATTAATCTGCAAGACGATGACTTTTTTCCGATCCCCATGGTGCCTCGCAAGACAATGGTTTCCTATGGGCGATTTTCGCAAGACGACAAATTTTCCCCATTGAAACGCATTGAATAGGTTTCAGTGCATTCCAATGGGGAACCGCGTTCCGCAGGATGATGTTTCCTATGGATGATTTTCGCAAGACGGCGATTTTTCCATTGGAATGTATTAAATGGATTTCAATGCATTCCAGTGGGGAACCGCGTTTTCACGATGTTTTCACAAGACAGCGATTTTCGCGGAATGCATTAACATCGTCTTGCGAGGCACCACTGTACATACATTTTGTTTCATGTTCAACAGTTACATGGGAGGAGGGAGGCTGGCTAGACATTAGAATGCTCCATATTTCACCTACCCATTCCTGATATTGAAAATGCCAAGTGCTAAAGAAACAAGTTATCTGTGAAGCTTATATTCCTGGAGTTTCTTTCTAAGATTGCTCTGCAGAAAAATCCCATCTATAATTTAGAAATTTAGAAATCTTTCTAAGATTGCTCTGCAGAAAAATCCCATTTATAATTTAGAAAAATCCCATTTATAATTTAGGAAGGTGTTTAGTGCCTTCTTCTCCATTTCTTCCATGTATAAGCTGGCAATAATGGGCGACACAGGGGAACCCCTGGCACAGCCACGTATCTGTCTGTTAAAGTCAACTCTGTAGGTGAAGTAAGTGGTGGTCAGACACAGGTCTGGTTTAAGTGCTGCTTACAATCCTGCTTTTGCAAACCAGGATTACACTGATATAATTCATTTATTTCTTTAGAAGGATTTCAATCTCACCTTTCTACTGTAATTCTAATACTCAGTACAGATAACTGGAGAATTAAAAGTAACTTTTTTGTAAAAAAAACCAAACCAGTAAAACATAGCAATACAAAAAAAGTAAAGCTATGGAAAGAAAAAGAGGGAGCCAGATAAGCAGATATAAGCCACTTACTATACATATGTGTAACCAAGAGAACATCAGGGCACTTCAGTATCAAGAAGGAAGTAGGGTTATGCTAAACTACTACAAGGGATGGGCTCAGGAGCCTAAATCTACAAATTCTTGGAGGAAAATGACGTGAAAGGAGTCCAAGATACATACAAAATGATATGCACTCTTTGCCTGGATTCAACCATTTCTTTGCAAATCTCCCTAGGGTGCCTAGATCATTCCAACATTTGTACTAGTTTGCTCAATATAACTGAACTGGCTCCCAGTTCTTAGAGGCAAGCTTTGAAGCCCCTCTATGAACAGTGCCACTTCATCAGGGTGGCTCACACAATTGGATGCTTCCCTATTTGAAAACAAAAGAAAACTATCTGCAGAGAGAAAAGAAGAAATCACACAGATGAACTCTGTCCTAGACATCTTCCTCTCATCTTAGTTTCTATGTATGAAAATGATTTAATTTCCATTTGTGGGAGAACATGTGAGACACTACTTTCCCTCAAAAGGGGTACTGTCTACACAAGAACAAAATGTTAGAATCCCACTAATTGTCTCAAATTCCAACCTTTAATGCTTTGATAAAGAGGTCCCGGAAGGTTTTCATAGTGTTAAATATCTCTTCCAAACATAGTTTGTTTGGGTCCTCACAGAGGTAATTGGCAAGCTCCACTTTCTTCATGTCGATGATTTCGAATTCATCTTCCAATTTCTTGTTAGCATTTATGCTATCCTGAAAGAGATAGTGGTCAAGATTCAAAAAGTGTCATTGATGAAACAGAACACATTTTCAAGGGAGTTTGTGAAGGAGCTTCAGTCTATCTCAAACCAACCTGAATGGCTCCTTCATACTGTCCTTTCACCTCTTCTGTTGACGATGACAACTTTCTTGCCAGCTCTAGCAGCTTTTTCATATTGGAACTGGATTCAGAACGTATCACATCCAGGTTGATTCTGAAAAGGAACAAACTGCACTTTTTGGTTTCTGAATCAGATGTCACAGGTGAGAAACACCTTCTTGCTTGTTTGCTTCCTGATACCTTTAACCACATTTTCTGCTCCCAGAGGCCTCCAAGAACAGTGGCTTTCACTTTATGGGGAAAACAACAAGCAACAAGCAATAACAACCAAAAGCCTTGAGAAAAGAAGATGGAAAGGTGATAGGATAGCACTTTTCAAATACTTGAAAGGTAGTCTACACAGAGCAGAATCTGCTCTCGATTATCCCAGAGTGCAGGACACGCAGCAATGGGCTCAAGCTATACGAAGCCAGATTTAGACTGAGTATCAGGAAAAACTTAACAGTTGGAGCAGTACAACAATAGAACCAATTACTGTACTTCAGAAGGTGGTGACATTGGTAACACGGGAGGTGTTCAAGAGAAAATTGGACAACCATCTGTCAGATCTATTTTGACTGGATTCCTGCATTGGGCAGGGGGTTGGATTCAGTGGCCTTATAGGCCCCTTCCAACTCAATTATTCTATGATTCTATAAAAAATTTAAGTACCTGTACAACGGCTTTCTGTTTACATCATTTTAAATGCCTGTTTTCAGGCCCTGAATGACTCAGAAAAAGTGCTCGCTTTTACTTGTCCTCACCATCCAGCTTCACCCCATGGTCTTCATATGGTAAGAGGAGAAGCAAAACCTCTCTCTATTCACTTTGCTCCCATGGTTGTCAACAAGGATGTGCCAATTGTTTTTGTTTGTTTCTTTGTTTGTTTTGGACTACAAATCCCAAAACTCTCCAAGAATTTCCCAGCCAGCAAAGACACACATGCAGATACCCTTCATGTTACTCGCCTGGAGAAAGACTTTTCTGGGGCTTCTTTCCTGTCCCAGGGCTTCTGGCAGGAAGCTGCCCCAATGTGTCCTTGGGCAGTAGTCTTGTTTTCTTTTGTGAGCTAAAGAGGTGGCCTCTCGAAGAGACACCACCCCAGAAAGCACTGCAGCAGTTTCCAGGAAGCAGTGGGGCAAGATATAAGGCCCAGAAGAAGCCAGAGAATTTCTTTGGGAGAATAAAACGAGTTTTTGGCACATGCATCTTTGTGGGTTGGAATTCCCAGAATTTTGCTTGGGGAATTCTCAAAAAAAACACCCTCTGTTATTTGGGGTACAAAGCAAAAATAAAAATTCTCTATATGATTCTCTGTATCATCATGGTAACAAAGCAAAAATAAAAATTCTCTATATGATCCTCTGATCATCATGGTAATTCTCTGTATGACTACGTTTCAAATATCTGAAAAGTGCTATCATATGAAAAAAAGTAAGTCTTCTTTTCTCAAGGGTAAAACATGCCCAGTTCTTCCTGTCTTTTCCCATAGGGCTTATTTTCCAGCCCCTCATCCTTGCCCCCCTCCTCTGAACTTGTTCCAATTTGTTGACATCCTTCTTAAAGTGCGGAGTCTAGCACTGGACACAGTACTCAAGCCCTAAATAGTGCCGAATAGAGGGGAACTTGTATTTTGCGGGATCTGGAGACTATATTTCTGTTAACGCAGCCTAAAATAGAATTTGCCTTTTTTTGCAGCCACAACAAGGCTGTCCATAATTTTGTACAAGTCTATCTTGTCTCCTGCTACTCATCTTGTTTTTTGGTGATGAAGAGCCCCAAGATTTTTTTAAAAAAGTAAGGCAGTTGCACCACACATTTGATCATTTTGCCTGCTCTTTTCTGCAGCTTTCGAGATCCCCTTATTACAAAGTATGACTTTTATAAAGCTTCACCTATTCAAAATACTACTGTGATACACCAATTTACTTTTTTTTTTCATTTTTGGGCAATTGCAATAATAAAAAAAGAAGAAATCCATTACACATATGCGCAGAGTAAACTATGCCTACCCTGCTGACTTTGAAACATATTCAAGATCTTTGGGAAGTTGCAGCAAATCTGTGTGATTCTTTTCCACTTCCTAAAGGAAAAAAAAAAGGGGGGGGAGGTTTTCAATTATTCGTTTGTACAGAGAACAGTGGCTTACACTAAAGCACAGGGAAATTGCCATTTTTGGACAACAACTCCCTAAATATCCCAGACCTGGAGATTCTAGGAGTTGTTGTCTATGCTGATTGTGAGAAGAGGAAACACACACACACACCTCCAAGTGCAAGAGCCAGTCCTAACTCAGGCAGCACTGGGAGATGGCAAATGCACTGCTCTTTGTGGCTATTGCCATCCCAGAAGGGCTCCCTCAGCTCCAGCTGTGTTGCAGAGCCCAGCAGTAGAAGGCATCCAAGCCCTCCATATCCTTCTCCTCGGGCTGCCCAAAAGAAGAAGCAAGCAAATCAAGTGGCACCAAGATTTATAGTGATCATAACTAACAAGAATCCAAAGGGAAACAGCTGAGACAAAATATATATGCATGCTGAACAACCATCTCAATGGATTAAATATTAGCCAAGGATCCTTAAGCCATTACTAAATGTGATAATTCTATTGCTATATGCTTTTTCTCTTCTTTTTTCTTTGTAGCTCATTTTTCATTTTTCCCATCTTGAAGTTTTAAATATTGATTGTAATCATTCTTTTCATTTTTCCCATCTTGAAGTTTTTATTATTGATTGTAATATTTTTTTTTATTATTGCTATTATTGTTATATTATCGTATTATGACTTTGTAAGACGCCTAGAGTGGTCATATTGACCAGATAGGTGGGATATAAATTGAATAAATAAATAAATAAAAATAAATCAATCAATCTATTTTTATTTTCCATCCCCAAGTAACCAGGCTCATTTTTTCAGAACAAGCCTCAAAGGTAAAGTCTATCATTGTCTACTTTACTATGTTTCTACTCTTGTTTCTTTTAATCATTGTTGCTGTTTACAGAACCAAACTTCAAAAGAACGGAATATCAAAGAGGGGCTTTAAATCATTACTAGGTGTGAAATGCAACTGACCGCCACTGTCTCTTTATCTCAGAGCCTTCTATGAATGTTTTACCATTTACTCTCTCTGTTTTGACTCTTAGGCTTGACGAAGTGGACATGTTCCACGAAGCCTACATTAAAAAATAGTGGCTAGTCTTTAAAGTGCCACAACATCTGCTCCCCTCCCTCCTTTGTTTCGTGTTTCTTATTGAAACGATTAACTTAGTATTTCTAAGCTTGCCTTTAACCCCTTGTCCAGCCTTGGAATAGTCTCTGGAAAATGCATCCAAGGTGGTAGAGGTGGAAAGTGAAATGTGCTAAGAGAGCAAAGAGAATTTATTAAAAAGAGATGAATAAGATCATATTTTAGAAGAGCCTTGAAGAGGGGAAAAAAACCCTTTAAAAACGGTTTAGGAAAGAAAAAAGACTAGTGGGCGAGTTCTAATACATATGTGCATACATATACTACCTACACATTTAAGTTACTAGGGAACAGATTGTTTCTGCAATTAAAATGCTGAGGGCAAACTAGTAGAGAAGAAAGTAAAAGGCTTAGTAAACCGTTGTACATTTTCATCAGTGAAGTGAAGCGTCAGGGGAAAAGGTTATGGGAAGCCTCTTGAAAAAAAAAATCCTAATTGTGATTTTAGATTTTTCTGGAGGAGTACGTATTTCAGTTGTAGAAATTTCATTATGTTATGTATTAATGTCATGATACAATGCATTTCTAAAAATAGGGAACTGTCAGGAGGAAAAAGAGAAAGAACAGCAACAGCACAAAACCCCACCCGACACACCTCTCTTTTCACAACTTACTAGATTGAACCTTATGGTTCAATTCCTTGAAAGCTGTGTGTGCTTCATTATATAGAAAATAGTGTTAAGATGAACCGCACTAAATCTAAGATGTTTCTATTATATATGTACTATGAAGGGGGAAACTGAAATAATGAGTTCAAAAGTAACAAATAGGTTACGGGATAAGTGTTGAATTTCTCTGTGAGAAACAGCAGAAATATACCTCTAAGATATGATGAAGTAATGTTATACGGGTCTGGTTTGCTTTGGTTTCTGTGAGTTTCAGCAAAGTGCCAATTTTAAAGCCATCCGCATCTCCTGTGTGACTTCCCTGAAAAAGTAAAAAAGAGAAAAAAAACCCAAGAGTAACAGACAAACAACTACAACAAAACCCACAAAACCAAACTTGCTTTGGTTATAACACTAGTTTAAGCAGTTGCTTATGTTTAGGCTTAGGCAAGAGCAAAGAAAAACTGGTCTTCATGGTGTTACTGAAAACATATTCAAAAGGGAGCTTACATAATTCAGGAAGTTCCCAACTTTGAGAATCAACTGGCAGAAGAGGGGCAACCGGTGACTTATGAGGAGATCTGTTGTGAAAAAGAGCAAAAATAATTTATTTTAGCAGGCAATCTGATCAGCTTGAACATGGATTGATGTAAATGTCTACAGGGGACATTTGAAGTCGAAGAACATCTGGAGGCCCAAGATTGGGGACCCCTGCTCTACCGAGCATGGATGAAACAGACCTGGGTCCACCCCTTCAGGCTACTTTATGCCGGGGGAGGTTTTGAAAAAAAAGTCCCCCTCCCCGAGGATATAATGTGAGCAAAAAACCCTGGAAAACCTGTTCCCCATGCCCATTGAGAACTTGCAAATGGGATATTTGAGCAACTTTTTAATAAAAGAAAGTGGGCATGAGAGGCATGGTGTAGAGCAGGGACGGTGAACCTTTTTGGGCCCAAGTGCCCAAACTGGGAGGGGGGGGGACAACAGCAGGCGCCAGGCGGCGATGGAACAGGAAGTGGCAGCAGTGGAAGGGGGAATCTGTCATGAGTGCATCCGAAGACCTGGAACCAGAAGGGTTAACTGAGGCTGAAGAGCATGCTGAGAGATCAGAAACACCTGAACCGCCTCCAGATTCTCCTTCCACAGCAGACAAGCTTCGGGCCAGGCTTCGGGAAAGACTTAGGACAAGGAGATCAGAGGATCGCTCGAAGGCTGTCCACAGAAAGCTACGTTCATCTAGTCCTGAGTATTAACAGGATAGAAAGCTTTCCAGCAGCTCAAGGAGCTGTTTTACTATAAAACAGCTCCCAGTGAAGCCAGAAATTCTGTGGAAGCAAAGAGTCAAAACCTTGGCTTGCATCCACGCTTCTTGGACCATGTTCCTGACTCTGGACTCTGACCATGGACTATGCTGTGTATTGGACTCTGGACTTTGACACTGGGCTTCATTCTGTGAGTTGATTTATGGACATTGGCTTTGCATTCTTGGTATCCTTGACCCTGGACTGGTTTATCGGACTTCAGCTGTTGTAACCCCTGGGAACGTGA